CTGCCGCCGCCGCGCGCGGGTCAGGCCCCGCCGCACCCGCCCCCATTGGCCGCCCCGGGGGAACGTCAGTCATATGCAAATAAGGGGGTGGGGCGGACTCCGGTTGGCCTCGAGCCGGCCGGGGGCGGAACCGCGGGAGAAGGGTGGCAGGGAGGGCGCACTGCAGTAAAGGCACGGAGCCAGGGTGGGCGGTTTGGGGCGCCGCGCTGCGGAGGCCCCGGGGTTGTGTGTGGTGGTGTGTGTCCAGCTCGCGCGAGGAACACGCTCACGCGCAGCTCGGCCCGCCTCCCTCACGCCTGCCTAAGCGCGCACGGCCCCGCAACACAGACAACGGCATATAGGGCTGGGCGAGCCACCCCTGAGTCCTCACTGATTCTTACACCAGCACAAACACGTACTCCTCATAGACATACTTTAATGCCACACCCATTATCTCATACACACCTCCACGGTCGCATATACTCCCGGTCTTACACCTCACTGTCACACAAAGTCACACAGCATGCTCAGATATGTGTACGACCTCGTGCTCACCGTCATACTCATTCTCAGCCGTCTTCACATCACCCATTTCATACATATCCTCCCATACATGCCCCACCAACACGTATATTCATTATACATCCATTAGCTCACGTGAATCATCATACAAACACATCAAACAGGCAGAAATATCACACACATCACAGCCACTGCCATTCCACCACACACACACCCGACACGCCTCCCACACAAGCACACACTAACTTCCATCTTCACACTCACATAGCCTTCCTGACACAGAGTACCCCCCAACACACAGCCATACCATCATGCTGATTTGACCCCATACACTATAAACTTACCCTCACATGCCCTATACACTTCAGTACCCAGACACATCAGGTATACAGAGCCCCACGGCCATCCACTGTCATTCAGCTACCCAGCCTGACACTTGTCAGCCACCTGGAATCCTCCACCTAGCAGCAAAGGGGGGGCCACAGAGCACCACCATGGCCGGTACCACAACTCTAGGCTGGGAGTCAACTCTCCCCCTTTGCCTGAAGAGCCACAAGGAAGAAAGGAAGCTAATACTGGGGCTGCTATGTGCCGGATGCTTGTGTTCACTGAATCTCACAGACACCTAGGGAGGTATGTTCTGTTATGCCCATTGTTCAGAGGAAAAAATGAGGCTCGGAAGGATTAAATATATTGTGCATGATCATGCAGCCAGGATGTAAACAGTCTAGTATTCCAACTCAAGTGCTCTTTGCATTACTCAATACTTAACCTCAGGGTGGGCACACGCAAGGACTCCCAAACAGAGGCCCAGGAATAAGGTCAGACAGTGAAACAGAGACTAGCAAACCACAGAAAGGTCAGGGGCACACACAGAGCCACAGGCAAGGGTCTGAGGCCCAGCAGGAAAAGATGCAGAGGCCCTGGGTATGGGTCCCAGGAAGGCACTGAGCAGAGGCAGAAGCCTAGGGTCATACCTGGGCAGATAAAGTCAAACAGGTTCAGATGGACCAAGACTGGGGCTCCTACAGAGGTGGGGTCAAAGGCAGGAGCAGATAACTCCAGTTTGTCCCATCCAGTGGTGGAGCTGAGGGCAAGAGGGGGGCCAAAAAACCAGGTAACCTGAACCCGGAGGGGGAAAGGGAGGCCTGTAGCCTGCTGACCTCCAGAGACTGCAGGGCCAGACACTTGGCTGTGAGCCTGGAGGGGCCACCCAAGGGACTATTAGGTGACTGCCCCCTCCTCCCTGTGCAGCCCCAGACTCAGACCCTCCATTACCTCACTGCCCCAGGGACTGCAACATGAGGCAGAAATCGAGGCTGAAATCAATGTGGCCCCGCTATCTCCCCACAGCTACCCCCTCCTCTCCCCCCCCACACCGGTGAGTCGCCTACTGGCAAGTTAACCCCTTCCCCACTGCAATGCAGTCCAGGGACAGAGCTCAGAGGGGCCCTTCCCCAGCCCTGCCACTTCTGTTGGGTGAGAAAAAGAGCCAGGCTTGGCCCAGCAGGGAGGGAGGGCCCCACACATCTGGGAGGGTTGCACATCTGGTAGAAGACACAGTGCCCGTGGAGGACGGATGGGAAGAGGCCCCTTTTAGGGCAGGGTACAGCTAAGTGGGGGCCCAGCCTGGCAGGGAGGGGTGAGAATCCGGGCGGGAAAGGGCCCCCCTGCCCTGGGCGCTGGGCCAGCCCTATACTTAGCTTCCATTGTTCAGGATAGAGGAACCCTGGGTGGGGGTGATTAGGAGTGGAGGGGACAGTCTCTCGCCAGTCATCACCCACCCTAACTCGGACCTCCATAGTTGGAAAAGACTGAGGGGGTTCCCCAAACGAAGGCC